CGGCGGAAGGGGGTGACAATTAAGGCAAGGAAAATCATTAAATGCGGAGATTACGGACCCCGCCCGCCGYGTTACCTCCGCCGCCGGCCGCGCCGCTGCGTGTGCTGGGGATGCTCTGCCGCTCCTTGGCTCCGCGCGCGATGGCGGCCGCTCCGCCCCGCGCCCGCCGTYGCCTCCCCTCCCCTGGCAGGAAGCCGTCGCCTCCCTTAAGGAGCCGCCTCGGGGCCCGGCCCCTTCACGCGGCCGCTGTGGCCGCCGCCGGGCGTCCCCCGGGGCGAGCGGCCGCCGCCGGCGGGGCGCGGGGCCTTCCCGCCCTCGCGAGATGGCGTCGCCGCCGCGGGCGCGTCCAGCGGCTTCCAGCAGCTTCCAGCGCGGGGGCGCGTTGCCGCCCGCGGGCCAGGCGAGGCCCGGCCGGCCCCACGCGTGTCCGGGGCAGCGCTGGCCACGAAGCGTGGGGGAAACACTGAGGGACGCCCCCGTCTGCAGCGGTCCTGATTTCCATGTGGGAGTCGGCCCTGGGGAAGGGCTCCCGACACCCCTCTCCCGAAAGCAGGGTTCAGAAACGCCCTGCGGCAGCCTCCAAAACCAGCAGAGAATTGTTTGCTGTCTAAATGACGTACCTGCTGTTGCCCACCAATTATTTTCTTGTCTCTTCCCACCAAATTGATGGTTTTAGCGTGTTCTCCATCAATAAAATGGCTGCAGCGTTTCCCTTTTTCCAGCGTTTTCCCTCAGTTTCCCCATGCTGCCCTTTCSGCTGCTCCCGGGAGGCTGGGGAAGGCCGACAGCTGCGCTGGCAGCAGGGCTCAGGAGAGGAGACCTGATCCCGCAGATAATCTTGCTCAAAACGGCCTCGTTACGCTCCCATGGGCCRCAATTGCCATCTGCACCTCAAACAGATGAGTCACAGGTGAGTTTTCTCCATAGAATGTATCAGGGCTGGGCAATTGGTGGGAAGATTAAATGTATAAGGCTTCATTAAACTTACAAGGCTCTAAAGTTATGGTGACAGGCCAAATTTATACTGTAGGGCCCTCACGCATTTGCTAAGCGCGATGGCGGCATTTAGTGCAGTTATCCTGAAGCTTAACATTTCCAATTTCCATACTTGAGTTAGTTTTCTTCTTCCCTTTGTTGTCACCTAGACCATTAACATACAATGCAGCTGCCTCTGTGACCATAGATATTCCTTATGTTGTGTTTGGAAAGCAGTAAACAAAGTCTTTGCTGGCTTATGTACAGAGCAGAAGCTTCCCGGTTGCTGCCCAGACTTCATTTCCAAGCCACAAAGCAGACTGCTCTTTGCAGCTCCTAATCAGAGAGAGCCTGTTTTCCTCAGCGCTTTAATTATCTTTACCTTTGTTTCAACTCTTTGTTTGGCTTTTGTCTGTTCTAGGTCTTCTGCAAGAAACTCCCTGGCCTGTATCTGTGTAGAGGTAAGTATGCTCTATCTCCTGAAGCTACTGAAAGTGTTGTAACACAGCAAACAAAACCAGTCTGCCTTCTCCGGGCGCTTACCAGCCCTCATCAATGGCTGCTTTGTTTCTAATCCGTTTATACAGGACTGATATAGAACAAAAAGAAGCAGCAGACATACCCAGCATGTGTCACACGTTTATGCAGTGTGAAAATAAATGGTTATATACAAAGATAATATGAAATGTGGAGCAGATGGTAAAATAATCTAGCCATTGCCAGAGCTAAAAATTATCTTTTTTTTTTTTTTTTTTTTTCTGGTAATACTAACTCAGTATCTTTCACTAGACAAGACTGTGTCTTCTTTCACATTAATCAAAAAAATGGGATGAATGCGGATAGAAAAGATGCAGCTGGATTCAGTTGTTGCTACAGTGCCATTTAAGCTCTCTCAGAAATTGGATCTGTTGAAGACAACACTCATTACTCAAAAAAAAAGGATTCATAAAATGTCATAATTAGAAAGTTGCTATTAGGAGCAAGAAATAGATAAGAGCTGAAAAGACATAGGAAACAAATTATTCAGCATATGCTGGAATATAAAAACACTTTCTTTTATAATGTTGAAAAAGATTTATCAGAAAATAATGCTCCTTCAGAACTTCAAATAGATTTCAAACTAAAAGTTTACCCTTTGAATTCTGAAAACTCGTAATATTGTAGGGTTTGGGATGAGAGACTTAAGTCATGACAACATTGTAAGCATTCATARAGTGTTTGCAAGATCAGTGCCCAGATGAGCAAATTTCCCAATAATCACCAAATAATATTTTCACCACAATGTTTTTGTGCRTTGTGGACTTGAGGAAAATAGGTTTGTATCTTTATAAATTGCTTTTCAATTTTACAATTTCAGATACTCATCATTCTGGACTCTGCATCCCATTCTCTTCTTCCTACAGATTGCCTCTGCACACTCACCCTCATTCTCCATAAGTGGCCATTGGTAAGTTACGTTTATACAGGACTCCCCAGACTTTAGGTGTTAACAGAGAAAACCTGACACCTATCCTAACACCTATCTTGTTTTCATGTGGATTTATTCAATGCTAATTTAGTGAAGATTGCATCTCTTTTAGCTAGTGAGGACAAGCAGTTTTGTAACTGAGTTTTGCCATGTCTTTTTTTTTTTTTTTTTNTTTTTTTTTTTTTTTTTTTTTTTTTTTGGTCTGGGTAGTATTTCCACTTCAATACCTCTCATAAAATACAATCCAGTCAAAATAAAGAATAAACAGATTAAATACTACTAAATAAATGAAAATTGGACTTGCACAGGACTAAAAGAAACCCAATCCACAGGAGACTGTTAAATTGTTTTAGAACATGATGGAGCCGCAGTAAATACTACTGTCAATTCTAAGGGAATCTGAAGCCCAGTCATCAGCTTTATGCTTGTTAGCAAATTAATCCTGGTGTGCAGGGTGGGTTTAAGCCCATCCATATCACGTAAGTCTCACAAGAATGTGTTGCCCAGACACTTCATTCAGGGAAGAATAATGAGCATGTATTGAGTTCCTTGAAGGTCAGTGTCGAAAACATGTTTTGGATACATTAAGTACCWCTTATCATGATGCAGAATTAAAGCAGATAACACAGATGTTGCTTCCAGCTGTAGGCTTGAGAATTCATATTGTTTTCTTCTGAAATGCTGCTTTGAAAGGTGAGTGTTGGGACCACTTTTGTGCTTCTGTTGAAATGAATGTTCTGTGCACACATCAGTTATTCCTAGGGATCATACAGTAACTGGGAAAGTAAATCTATGGAATAAATCACATGCCTCCAAATGGCATTTTTTTCTACATGTGCTTAAAAATAGAGATTCTCCTCTACAGATTGTAACTTGCATCATCCCAGACAGCATCATCTAAGCTCAGTGCAGTGACAACCGTGTTTTCCTTATTTTTTTCAGGGGAGCAACAGAAACGGTTCCAAAAATAAATTAAAGTGCCTTTTTGTTTTGTTTTTCACCAAATTTCTGGTATAGGTGGTTTAAGCAGAATAAATAAATGAGAGTGACTACAAGCACCAAAATGATAGGCAGTTAGAAAATTGTCTAAATTTAAGCTTCTAACTAGTTGCATGCCTCCTCAGGCTCCATTTCTCTGACTTACAGCATTCTAGTGGTTCTGGCACTTGTCTGATCCCCTTGGTGAGGCAATTCTACTCACCAAGCTGATAAAACATAACACTTTGTTTACATTAATTTTCTGCTATCAAAATGGCACAAGTACAAAACACAGAGTAAGCTAGGAGCAGAGGGGRAAAAGAAGAGGAAAGAATTTGGTTTGTTTTGTGTGGCTGCAGCCTCATTTTGRTAATCTGTAGCTTAATATTAGACTTTCTTTGATGGAAAGCGTGGCTTTCAGAATTTTTTTTTTTTTAAATACCTGTAAAATAAGCTTCTACAACCCATCTTTTCATTTAATTTTTCTTACTCAGTTCTCCTKCCTTTCAGGTAACATTTCTACACCCTCATCCACACTCATCAAAGTTTATTATTTATATATATGGTACACATTATTTTGCTAATTTTTTCTTTGGAGCTCTTCATGCCGCAAAGCAGAAGTAGAGCAGATGTCTTACAAAGTATAAGCAATACTTTAAATGCTATCAATAAAACTTCGTTAGGAGAGCAAAGAAACTACTGTAATCTACTGTAAGTAGAACGTTCAAATTTATGGCTTCCTCATTCATCTTTTAGGGTTTGGCTGGAAARAAACTATCCCTCGTAGCTATAGTTATTTTTAAGAGAGTAGATTGACTTTTATTTTTAGACAACTAAAATCAGCATTTAACTATTGRACCCTGTTCACGTACGATACCCATTCTTGTCTGTGTTGAATTGACTTCATAAGAATTTGGGTATTTATTAATCACTAACTTCATTTTCTTGGAAAACAACATGAGGGTTATTCTAACCCTTTCACCAGGACTTATAAAACAGGAAGTGTTTCTGCAGATACCATTTTTTCCCCTTGTCTTGGAAAGCCAGTAAGAATGGCAGTGTACAAAAACAAGCTGAGGCGAGTTTTTAGCTGTAAAAAAAATTATTAAAAATAGATCACTTTCATTTGTTTCAGGACCCAAATTGTCTCTGAAGTCTTCAGTGCTAGTATTTGTAACCTGGTTTGACAATATTTTGATAAATTTCTTGTAGATTAAACATTTTGAAGATTTTTTTTTAATACAGCATGTATTTAGCAACTCAGCTTTCTAATATGACYGCTCAGCCTTTCCTCAAAACAGCAAAATTCCTTTTTACTATTGTCAGTCCTTTTGTGAAACACTTTATTCACTTGCGTTACCTGTCCCTTTCAGTGATTAAAATGAATAAAAGCTGGAGTGTGGAAGCTTAGAACATATTAAATACTCAGCAGGGACTACGTCGATACCATATTTGCAAGCAGCTAGCTACTAAAACCTGAAGCCAATGCCCTCATTTTGTTTGTCTTAACATGCTGAGTCAAAACTTTGCAATTTAAATTCAACCAGATGTTCCTTAGCAGAGCTACTTTGAGTTCACTRTGGTGCAGCGTAACTCCATTAATTCTGACCCCAATGATACGTCTTTACTTTAGTGGGCTCCTATTACTTTCCCCCTAACCAATACAAATCAATTTGGTATTCTTTTATAAAAGAGGTAATTCCCGTTTTATTTAGAAAACGTAACAAATTTGTCTTTGAAAGTAAATGTCTCCAAAACATAAACCTGTTTGCATAGATTCCCGGACAAGGTATGCAAATCAAATGTTGTGCTTATTATTAAGCATACTTACTACATGCTGCACATAAATATTGAACAGAATAATCTCTTTTAAGGAAGTAGAGAAAGTGAAATACACTCTTATTTATAAGTTTACATAGCACAGGCATTTCTTGTAAAATAAACAAAACTCCACTTTTCACAAATACGAGATGAGAAAGTTTTTACTGAGCACTTATTAATACTGCACGCTACAAGAGKAAGATTTTCAGAATATATTTGCATATCTAGCAGAAAATCCTGAGAAGTGGTGAAATATTTCAATGGAGTCTTTAGGTAAATTGCACTTTATTGAAACACAGGAGGATTTATTGCCAATCCATTTGCCTTTACAATTAACAGRATGGCCCCATTATTGGATTTAGCCTTTTCTCAGCCAGCCTGCTCTTTCCAATTTCTAATCTGCTAATATTAGAATGATTTCAGCCCTGAAATTAAAATGAGAGTTGGCTTTGCTAACTTTTCAAAAATGATTTCTCAGCAGTCTGTCTGTGTATGTGTTTTCCCCTTTGCTCCTTTGTTCCACACTTAGCTCTTGATTACTTAATGTGTACAGTGTCCCGCAGAGCAGCCTGTAATGGACTAATTAAAAACTACCAAGAGTTTCCTAAGTTATGCAAGATCCCCACAACTATGAAAAGCCTTTTCAGCTTCCTGTTCACACACTGGGAAACACCATAAATCAATCTTCTGAAAATAAGCCCAGCTCTGCTGGATGGCACCTACAGATATATTTTAGTTTAAGAAGAAAGTGAAGACTCTTAAATCTATGAGGGTAAGTGAAATGAGGGCAAGTACTTAGGCATACACGTTGGTGTGCAGACAGTATGATAAAGAAAACTAAACACCAAGGTTCTGGGTATCATGTTACTGTTAGCAGAGGTCAAGGAGTTATTTTTACCTCCGTGTCATTAGTGTGGGAAAGCATGGAAGACCTCTGCTTATTTTGAAACTATAGGGGACAGCCAGGTAGATTGTTAATATTTCATCAATTTTGGGGCAACAAATTTTTGTGATTGGAGTGTTTTTCATGTTCTCACCTCACATTTTCATCAGTTGATCTTGTAGATTGCTTAGGGTCACACTACAACAGCTCTGTTTCTCTGTACTGAAGTTTATTATTGGAGTGCTTTATCGATGGAAAAGTTCTTTTTGATCCTACTGTGTTGGAATAGCATATATTAATGTTGTCCATACCATTTTATCATTAAAACAACCAAAATTTACATTAGTTGGCTGTACTTAAACCATCCAAAAGCAGCTGTAATGTGTACATTTGGAGAAATATGCAGTACATAGAGGAAAATTAAATCTGATGTTACTGTGGGTTCTTGCAAAAAAAAGGGAGGAACAGATTTTAATGAAGAAACAATCTTATTGCAAAAAATAGACAAAGAAATAGGGAAAGTTATAGGTAATGAAGAATCCTGAATATAGTTTTCTCTCCCTAGGTGTTCAAGGGATTGACAGAAATATTACTTGTTAGGGATTGCCTAATAATAAGATTTTGTTTATAACTGATCCGCAGAAAAGGGAAGACATAAATACACAGCCTTTATTTGGGAGTTTACAAAACCCCTGCAGCAGATGGAAATAAGCTCAGGGCTCTGTGGTTTCCATTGGAGCCACAAGAAGTCAGGTTTTATCTATAGTGCCTTCCTGATTGAATCTCTGGCTGGTTGATTTGTTAACAGTTTTATGAAGCAGAGAGAGATTGTAGTGAAATAAACACCGAATTGCAGGATGGGTGTTAATATTCATGCTGTATAACACAAAAGGATATTGAAAAGATACTGATTTCTGCGTGAAATCTCTTTAGTTAAACATTTGAAGCTCACAATAAATCACTGTTGTCTATGTTAATTTTCCCTGCCAAAGAGTCCTGATGTATTTATTCTGTTGGGGAAGAAAGGTAGTTCATGAGTATTGCGGATTGCTCTGCCTAGGGGAAAGGTAAAGACCGACCTCATAATGTCTTTGAAATCTTTCTGAACATCTGTTTGAAAGCCCCATCACAACCCAGAAGCACTAGGAATGGTCCCCTGGCTGRCACCAGCTCCTCTGTTTCATTACTGGTTATTCACTATCTCTTCTCCAGGCCGACAAGCTGTTATGTCTTCCCTTGGCCTTGTCATTTTTAGGCCAGACAAGCAGAGCTTTATCAATTTATTCGTAGTTGGCAGGTTTCCTTATCAGCCTTCCTCCCTCTTCTGGGCCCTCAGTCCCAGAGCTTCGTGCTGTTTTCCAGGGAAGATCTTGCCAATGCTGGGTGGAAAACACGGATTATTTCAGTGTTCTGCGCGTGCACGCGAGCCAGGTTGTTGCCTCTCTCTTCCCCTGCTGGTTTCCTGTTCTTTTGTGATGAGACACTCACAATACATATAAGGGGGAGAAAAACAATTCTGTTGTGAACATAATCTGCAACTGTTCCAAGGCTGAAATCCTCATATCTTCCTTTTTTTTGTTTGTTTGGGTTTTTTTTGTTTGTTTTTGTTTTCCAGCTCTATTTCGTGCTTAACAGCTCTTCTCAGGTATTTTTTSACAGCTAAGAGCTCTTAAGTAGAGCTCTTTTTGGCTAACGAATGAAACAAATACAGTGCTGGTAGTCACTCTTATCTAGGACAAAAACTTTTCTTTGAAATTAAAGGATGGACTAATTGTACAGAACTCCTTGGAGCCCTGCCACGTTGCTTCTGGAAAGGTGAAATTCATTCTGTTCATATGGCTATTTCTGCTGCTGTGTGGCAAGATCAGAAACAACAGTTGGAAAGAGATGTTGAAATACTTCTGAAGTATCACATTGCAAGGGTGAGGGAGTCTATTCAAAGTCACTAACTTCTTTTTAGTTCAGCTGCTTGAAAGAGTCCACAGTTCCTTTTACAGCTGCCTTTCCTTTGTGAAAAAGGAAGGGCCAACCTTAAAGCTAAAGGAGGATGGCAGTTTGGAACTATGTATCTTGGGGTAGATGGAAAGAAAGAGGGAAGGAAAGATAATGGAAGACAAGATTACTTCATGCACAAGAGAACCTTGGTCTCCTCCTCTATTGTTCGCTGGACCTGTGCTTTCTAAAATGATCTGGTGACAACTGTTGAGTGTTATTTATAGCTTTGTTTTCCTTCTCTACTGGAAGGACTAACCCTGTGAAAGCTTCATTTCAGTTGCTCAGATTAAATATCTGCAAATGAACTTCAAACAAAGCCTAGGGGAGACGTTCTCACATTGCAGGAAGCATCCTCGCTAGGATAACGGTGTTGTGTAGATAGGAGAAAGGACAAGGAACAGCCAAAACTTTGCAACAGTGAGCAAAAGAGAGCTGACATTAAAAAAAAAAAAAAAATACAGCTAATTCAGAACAAAACCAAGACAGCAAAAAAAAATTATTCCACTTATTCTTCCTTTAATAAATTAAATTCTACTGTCAGTTTATCCTGCACTGATTTTGTAACCAGCCCTTTGATTTCAATAGTACTTCCATCTCAATAAACTAATAACATTCCCCCAATCCCACACATGAAAAAGATTCCTTACAGAAGTAACTTATCAACAAGAGTGAACTTCAGAGATTTATATTGCACAAGGTAGAGTTGTGAGAAAGATTATGCATTTTTCTAGGCTAAAGCATAAGTTGCATTCAGAGTAGACTTACAGACTTATAGCGRGGCTTTGGCAAGGTTATGGCTGGTTATGATAATTCTTTTAGGCAAGGTATTCAAGCAAATTTTCAATAAACTCAAGCAGTTGAATAGATAGCAAAATCTGATTGTGGCTTAGAGTTAATTAGCAAATAAAATAAAGGTTTCCATTCAGGCTTTTTTTTTTTTTTTTTAAAATGAGTAACAATTTTGCCCCTATTTTATAATTGGTTGTAAGCTGTCTTCTTGGCTTGTCTTAATAAAAGTCTGGTTAAGCATGATGGTAATAGAGCAGTAACTCAGAAAAGTCACCTCCTATCAAGACCACTTAAATTAGAGAGCCAAATAGGAAGAGAACAAAACCTGTCTGGAAAAACAGAGAGCTTGTGCTCCTACTGGTTTCATGCCAGTTCTGCAAGTAGCAATTCAAGCTGAGCTCTGGCATCAGATGATGAAATAGGAAACCGGTTCCAGAAGAAAACAAAACAAAAAACTCCTCAAAAAATCCCAGAATGAAAACTGGCTCCATTATGACAAAAGCAATTATGACAAAATCAGTGTAGTTTGCCAGTGAGCACATCATTCCAGCAGTATAAAATATCGAGCAAAACAGAGTGCAGTTGTTCCTGAAAGATGATTTTTTCACTGTTTTTCACAGTATTGCTAGCTTCCCTCTTAATAGTCTATACCTAATTCCCATAGATGAATGATTTTGTGTTTTACTTCGTATGAATATCATACACCTTCTGAACACCATGGTGGTTGCTCTTGTCCCCATGTACAAGATATTCTTTGGTAAGAAATACTGAAAACGACCATTTTGAATGTTGAAAGAAAAAAAATCCGTGACATTTACATCTTTACTAGGCAAAACTATTTTCACCATATTTTAATAGACATTGTTTTAAATTGTAACAGTATTTCACTTCAAGGCAGTCTTAAACCTGAATAAATTTACTTTAAAAAAAATCAGCTAAAGTTTATGGTGCTAGCAGCATTGTATTACATGGAATAACAAATCCCTTAAATCTTACATGTGCTTAGAGAGCACATCATCACTACATTTAAGATTACCACCTCTCAAATTGCCCATTAAGCATTTTGAAAGTGCAAGGAGAACCAGTGCAATGCAGGGAAACCCTGCATTGAGTTCTCTATATGCAATACTTGTAGCTTTTATAACAATTCTCACATTAATCCAGTGCCTTGGAGCTTAGAGCAATCCCACTGTGCCTTCAAAAGCAGTCAGCTTGTGTAACTTCCTTTTCATTATAATTAAGATAATCTTCCTACTTTCCTTTACAGTTCAACGGAACCACTAAATGAGCAGCTTAATGTCTCTTCTTCCCGACTTAGTTGCGTGTCTGAATCGCAGACCCAACTCAGAGRACAGCATGAACACAGGGTATTCATTTTGCTCAGTTTACCAAACACTCCTAAGTCTCACCCCTCCAATGTGGTTGCTTATCAGTGCCCTATTTTGAGCACGTGGCATTTGCGAGTGAAAATGAATTGATCTGCATAACGTAAAAATTCCAGAGGTTCTTGATGACCTGTTGAAGAGACATTTCTGGATTCTGTCTTAAGCCTTTCACTCCAACAGTTGCTTCCTTATGAAGTAAATGAAAGCAAGAGCCTTTTTCCTTCTTTTTCCTTTCTCATCCAGCACCCTGTTCCTTTCTTTAGTTGAAAGGATTTCATAACAGCCTTCTTTCCATAATGTGAGCTCCAAAAATCCAAGATCCACTTTATGCTCTTTCAGAATCAAAGAAACAAGTTGTCATCTGACTTGAAGTATATTTGCTCGGGCACGCACAATAATCCTCCCATCTCTGAGGTCCAAGTTAGAATTTATTTTACCAGTTTTGGTAATTTCTTCAGGCAGCAACCTGATCTTATAATCCAGCTAGCCTTTCCATTAGAGGACTAAGGGCTGTAGGAAAGATTGACTTCAGTCAATGGTTATGAGGAAAGGATGTGAATCATTCCCAACTCCTGCAAAGCCACAAAACGTAAAGTCACTGCAACAGCTTATTTATCTGTCTCGAAAGACAGTCCGTGCAATGGTTGCGTTGTGCCAAAGGGCTGCACTTGCTCACTGCAGTCACTACGACCTGCGCTGCCCTCTCTCCGAGGCAGACACAGGTATCTAAGAGCGCCCGGGCGCGAGCAGTCACCGTGGGGTACGAGGTGATGGCCTCGTAGTCCCCTCGGGACATGGTCTGGCGCGAGCGAAGGACGTCGAGGATGTGGTTGAGGCGCCCTTCGGTCATGCAGCCCAGAATGGCCTCGCGCCGACAGGTCAGGATTTGACAGCAGCTTCTTTGGCAGCCAGGACCTGGAAAGAAAAAGGAAGCAATGCGATCAACTGAGGCCTGGGTTTTTCTCCAAGTTGTTGGCAGCTGCRTCGACCCAAGAGGAATGAAGGAACCTCCAGAAATATAAATTCTGTGGAGAAGGGGGAAACGATGGGAAACATTCATTTATTTGCACACTTTGCTCAAAACTTACACAAACGTATGTGTGCCTTTTGTTCAAAACTAAAGAACAATSTACAGAAAACAATTACTTCTAAAGATTGCTCATTAAGTGATCCAATTATCTAGTGAAGGGAAATTTCCCTTTTTCCAGCATCTRTATTGAATTTGTGTCACATAAATGTTTTGTTGCTTTATCCAGAAATCAGATCATCACCCAGTAGTGCCCTTATGCAGGGAACAATGGCAAGGTAGGTGTGAGAGTTGCCACAGTCCAATTTGCTAAAAAGTTGASAAGAAAGTTTGAGAGGCTTTTTCTTCGGAAGAGAGGTAGGCTTCACAACCCAGAGGCTGGTACTTCCTACCTCTATTCAGTAGGAAAAAATAATCAAGACCAATTTAAGGCGGGAGAGAGGTATAAAATACTCACAAGGAAAGCATAAAATGATCCAAAGTGCATTTTTCTAGACTTAAAAAAGGAATGTATTTCATATATACAGTGTGTGTCTTTTTTCTATATTTTCATGATGATCCTTTCTAGGCTTTTCAGGCCTGTTTTCAGCCTGAATACGACCTCGGAAAGGAACAAGCCARTGTTCCCAGCAGCCTGAACATCTGGGAATATAAGAATCGCTGTATTCCAGCAGACTGATGAGTCATTTTGTTTAGTAGCCTGTTTCTCACTACGGCAAAATGAAATTTGGAGGGTGTATAGTAACTGAAAAGGTGCAAGAAAACTCAAAAACGGCAGATTCTAAATATTTAATCACCAACTGTAATCTGATTAAGCAGAGTAGTGACACCTCATGCTGGAAACAGAGTCTCACCCGTCAGCGCTTGCCCGAGATTCCTGGTTTSTGGACTGTGCTCACGTGGCACTCGGGGGCTCCTGTGGCACAGGCTGCGGCTCTSTCTGCCCAGAGCTGCACCAGACCAGGGAACAGCAGGAAAGGAAGGGCCCGGCGTGGATTTCCTACCATCGGAATCCGGATGATCTGGAGAAGTTTAATAGAAAATAGAATTGAACAATAGGACATAATGTATAGAACTGAAGTGCAAACTGACTTGAGAGAAGTTACCCATCACGAGCCGCTCTCTGGGCACTGGCTAATAGCATATAATATTAATAATATAATATCATAATAAGATAATAAGGAAATAGTCATTACTTATAAGAAGATTCGACGTATATTACTATGCACTTTTTTTTTTTTTAATACAAACTTCAGTAAAGCTGCCTTTAGGAATTTGCTTCTGAAGTTATGGAAAATTTTACTCTATCCAGAAGTCTGACAGCTGTTTATCAGAACCTAAGTACTTGGGGACGCAGATGTCACTGTGATAACTGAATTAATTTCCTATGGCGCAACTTTTCTGTCTGGAGGCATGAGGAATAAACAAGCAGCATTTAAGGAATTATTACTTCTTGACGCAGGTTTGAACACTTTGACRAGGTAAACGTACAGGGGAAAGGCAAGGAAAGGTGTTTATATGGGCATGCTAACTACCAGGAGTTGTTTAACATTCCTGGAGACTTGGTATATAACTGCTTTTCTTATTGGCAGATTACCAAAAAGAAGCATAGTTATTCATGGTGGCACTAAATAAATAAATAAAACCAMCTTGTTCCTATAGAAAATGTCAGGCAGTATTTGATGTGCGAGGGAAAGGCAACTGTTCATTACAGTCTCTAATATGTAGTCTAGGATTCAGTTTAAAAAAAAAAAAACTCATCTGAAAGAGGCTTTTTGGTATACATACAAAATCAAAAGATTTCAGGGTGCCTTTTTTTTTTTTTTTCCTGCACACAGCTGTACTTTGAGAACGGACAACTGGAAAACTGGAATTATGTGGAAAATACATATGAATGTGGAACAAGCAAGAATATTTTTTCCTTTTTGCGGAGTAGTAGGAGGTAAATAAGTTTCAAGGCAGAGACCTTGCTTTGTCGTCGTCGTCTTTGGTGGGACAGCATTTGCCAAAGCCATCGCGAGGGTATTTTCTTTTCCCAAGTTACTTGCACTACTCTCAAGTAGAAGAGCTGACAAGTTTGGCACTCCGAGAGGAATTTTCTTGTTGATGACTTGGTTGTTTTCTTGTGGACAGATGGTCTGAAAAAGATCAAAACAGAGAAGAATTATTTCCATGGAAACTTCTATTCAGGGATGTCCTTTTTTTCTAAAGCAGTTTTCCTTTGGAATCAAGGCTGTGTCTGTTGTGATGTGAAGGGGGCAAGAAAATGCTGAGCCTCTTAAGACTTAGCTCAACTTCAGCTACTTACAGAGTATTTTGGTGGCAGCACAAATCCACAGGCTGCCTCTGCTCGATTGCGTTGCTATCCCTTATAGCTTCTTTAGCACATCCTGCCAACAGTCCYGGTGTCACTAGAACATGTCCTGTTCAGTTGAAAGCTGGATCTGATCCATGCACAGGAGCTCCAATCCTAACTGGGATTTTTCCATATTCACAGATCTGCCCTAAGTACGCAAATCAATCTAAAGGTAGGAATTAACTCTGTTTTAGACAGATCACACAGCAGCTGGCCTTGCTCTGTAAGAAAATTCTTTACAAATGCTARGACTTAGCCTTAGGCTTCCAGGTTTCTGTTTGCGCATTTTTTGTTTTCCCCARCGGGCGCTTTGAGAACGCCAGAGAAAAGGCCCTTTCCTGCCATTTTGATAGCTTTAAGAAGAGGTTCAGAGCAACTCTTAAGTGGAAGAGGTTGTTTTCTTAAGAACATCAAGAACTGCTTGAAGGAAAGYAAAGCTACCCTAGCCAGGGACAAAAAGCTCCAAACATTTTGCTCCCGAGCGTATTATGCACGGTCCTACCTGGTATAGAGCTTATGAAATAYACAGCTTGCAAAATACTCCTGTAGATAAAACTCGCGATTGCACATCATTTACTCACCTCTGAATTGCATATGCCTGTCTGCAACGTGTACGTTTGTGCACCTTTGCATGCATTAAGTGCTGTCTCCTGCAAAAAACACCACAGTAACTGTAGGAACGCACAGATATTATCTTTGTTCTATTTACAGCACTCACGAGCAAGGATTTGTGTGGACACTGGGTCATTCTACTCTTAGGTATGCCAGTGTGTAACAGTGAAGTGCTCCAYGGAACAACTTGGTGTTTTAACAGATGTGGAATGGGACAACTTCACCCTGTTACCGGCAGTGCTGTGTCCAGATGAATTTAAGAGCTAGTTTTGATTCATGCAAAGAACGATGAGAAAAACCTTCTATTGAGATGTGTGGTAGCAGCCCTGGGCTAGCTATAACATGCCTTCCTATATGTGTCCAAACAGCAAGGTGTTCCTGTATTTAGGATGCCAAAGTGTCTGCAATAAGGATGTGTCAATACTTGTAAACTGAAAAAAAAAAGTTATATCTGCAGCAGCTTTTTTTTTTTTTGCACTGCATTGCAGTCTATTTCTCTCTTTTAAGTATCTTCAGTAGCTTTTTTTTCACAGCTTTACACATATTACCACAGTTTGAACAGTAACTAGTGCTCTTTGCTGATTTAGTCAGTGGGAAAACAACACCTTGCTCAAAGGAGCCTAAAGCATTAGATTTAGGAATGCTCTGTCAAATACTTCATAAATTTTGGTAGTAATTAAGTGATTTGGACTGTAGCTATGTCACCTATTGGAACCAAGTCTGCTTTAAAAATCCTAGCATGTGATTATGGTATGTAGCAATAATCCTGAATGCATTAATATAAGCAGCTCACATAAGCACAATAACGAAGCTGTGGCAACAGGGCTTTGAAGACGAGTTGTGTAAGTGCAGATGAAGTCAGATTTCTTATTTAGTGCCTGGAGCATGTGTCACTGTAGCTTTCCACTACGTCCACCTAAGCTGGGGAGCACAGAGCTATATTTGTGCAGTTGGATTTCCAATGGCAGCATGTGGCATTTGCTGCCCCCCTCAGTTGTTGGCTCTTCCTCATCCAGGATCAGAGCACCCTCTCAGGTCCCAGGGCAAACAGTAGTTGCTCTGTGCTTGATGTAAATCAAACCAGGTGAAACATATAGGGGGGTGATGCTGGCAKTGCTGCAGCAGGTAGTAACACTGTCCTGGTTCTGGAATAAATACCCTCCCACCATTCCTTGATTAGACGATTCCTAAAATTAGCCTTGCTTCCAGACCTCATCTGCTTCACACTTGTTCTTGCTCACGTGGATTTACCCATCTACTGAACCTGCCAGCTAGAAAGGAGTGATCACATTTGTATCCCCACTCTCAGGGAGCACTTGGCCAGATGTTTCCAGAGGACAGGCCAGAGAATTAGCCTCCGGCTTAGCTTCACAGTTATCTATCTGCTGCAATTCCTGAACGAACCTGAAAAGCTTCAGGTTACTCTCCATCTTTATGATATGTCAAAAAAAAAAAAGCAATGAAGACCAAACCATTTCTGTTTATGAATCACAASGGTTGCTACAAATCAGACAATGGCCTTGTATGGGAGCAAACTCAGATTTGCACTCACCTTTGCATCCATCAGATTGTAGACTGCTCTGGAAATTGCCTCCTTGTTTATATTAGCCAAAATTCCCTTTAGAACATCTGTGCATTCTGCAGAAAGAATAAAGCATTTTAAATACCACAGGTTACATTTGAGAGCATATATCTCTGCATCACAGTTAGTTGCCGGTGCTACACCAAATTTTACAAGTTTTTGCTATTAAAATAAGTAGCTACTAATAGATGAAATCAGCTTGATGCAGCTTCTCCTTCATACTTCCCACACTTTGAAGGGAGCAGGTTACACACAGGCAGCAGGAAATGCTGAAGACAGGCTCAAATAATACATGTGGTTGACATCATCTCTACCTTTATTTGCCTTTTTTTTAACATTATACTAAAAGGTTTGAAAATGAGACCTGTGAGGGAACTTTTAAACACACACACACACACACACGTATACACACACACACACACATATATATATATATACATATAAATACTCTGATGATGATCCAGAGAGTGCTTCACCTGCCACTTCAGACATTTAGCRGCCTAGAGCAACCTCAAAAAGGATTCCTCTCCACTGCAAATCCTGAAAGGATAGCAAATCTGGAAAGTTACCTGTGATATGTGGCCTATAATCAGGTTCTTGATGCCAGCACAGAGCAATGAGTTGCAAGAGCCTGTTCCTCTGTGGCAAATTGCTCGGGATAAACTTTGCTGAAGTCCCAGGACGCAAACCACAACTGATTTTGGTTAAAACTTCCAGCAGCGTWTTTTGCCCTGCAATTTATAGAAAAAAAAAAAATCACTGCAAAAATATTAAGGACCTCAGAATTATTTTTAAATGTGTTCAGCAGAGGTTATTTTGTTGTTTTGAAATCATAGTCTGCTTTTTAAAGCAAAACTAGAGACTTGTTAACGCTGCTGTAAATAGATCTGCTCACCACCTTTAACAATATCCATAGCTACACTGCAGCAAGCCACTTCGCAATAAAAAATTCCATCCAGATAAGTCACRAATGGATATGTCTACATGCCTTTATTACGGATATGTCTCAAGCACGCACTTTTATTTAAGGCTACACAGCTGCATTATAAGAATATAAATCCTGTTGTGCAACTAGTAAAGTGCTTTCGGCAGCCACAAGATGGCAGCCATAAATAAAAGCTCTATGAATATTAACATAGTATTCTATTTTGTGTTTTTAATCTCTTGCAAAAATCAGTTTTGCTAGGGAAAAAGAAAAAGAATTACCAATAACCCTTTCTTTGGTCTCCACTTTGATAAAACAGGGAGCATTCTTATGCCATCATTCTTAGAGCATGACGGTTATTACACARGGCTTTTAAAGCCAAGTTCTTTAAAACTGCTCATTTTCATCCACCAGAATAGAGAAAGCAAGTTTCAAGGCTTCTCGAAGAGCATTTTGCACAAATCAGCATTTCCTGAAATTTGGAGCAACTGTAGAAATTGGTAGGAACACCCAATTCTGCTCCTCTGGTAAGCTGCTCACCATTAACCTGCTGCCTAATTGAAAATGATGACAGCCACAAATACAAAAGAGGATCATTTCTTAGTAAAGGCAGGCACAAAACAACTCTCAGCGTAACAAGAGTGCTTGGGCAAACAGAGATAAATAACAAAAGCGAGGCAAGAATTGACACCTTTCCCCTGAAGAAAGGTCAGTTACTTTGGAAACAACGAGAATTTGTTGGCTTCTGGATCCCATAACGTGGAGCAGTGCACTGCGACAATGATGAAGGGCAAAGGGACATCTGAAACAACTGCACTGTTTGTATCATACCTTCCCTAAGGTAAGGGAGTTGGTGGAAGAAAATAGGAGAAATAAAATCAGGCACGAAGCACAGAGATAAATACCTTCAAAGGGTTTCTGTCTGCTAAGGCTCTCCCAACACAGTATTCCAAAGCTGCAAAGAGAGAACAGTGAAAGAATGGTTATTAGCCAGGAAGTCTGTGTTCTCCTTATTCCCCCAAAATTAGTTTACTGGTTTGAAAGAAAGGGATTTTTCAAGACAAAGTCAACCTAAGTCCATAAGGATCTTTTTCCTGCATAATTAGGTTTCAATTACCAATTGAGCTGTTTTTACATAATAATAAGGTTGGATTAGAATTGCATTTCAGGTAGAATCTAAATTTGCTCTTGAGGATTGCAAAACGTTTTTCCTGCCTTTCTCTTTCATTAGTATTRTTTAACAGCAACTAAAAAAGCTGAGCATTACAGCAGGTAGCGACCAGGGTATCAAGAACTTGATCCTAACCCACTGTCTGTTTCAGCAAATTTTGATTGATAATTCCACCTATGTCCACAAATGCTTTTACTTGAATACCTTTACAAAATGTAATATAAATGTAATATGTACATACATGTAACTTACACACAGTTAAGTAATATTTGACACATCACACACTTTTTTTTCCACCCTGTTGCACCATTGTCTAGACATACACTTATCTCAGGCACTGAATCACATCTGAGCACTTAAAATTAAACAGGGAATGACACACTGGAAAATGAATTATGCGAGTTGAAAGTAAATCTCCACTCTTCCCCGTGCCAAAATGCTGTGTTTATGAGCAGCACCAGATTAGATTAGTCACGTCATTTATAGGTGTCCTGAAGTGTAAGGCATTATATGTTTCATCTTTGTGCCTTGCCCTCTAGCAGTCCTGTCTCCAGAAAAGAGAGAAGTTCTTAGAGTAGAAGAGTGGTCATGCTTAGAAGTTAGTTATAATGCAAGTCCACAGGCTGTGTATGCCTGTTGTAATGATGTATGTCCATACAACCAATAGCTGCAGTTTGGGATATTGTCTCATTTACAGAGGCAATTATGAAGTATGTTACGTGTCCAAAAAGTACATGTCATGACAGAGTAGATAAGGGATTTATAAGAAGGATGAATATTAAGTTAAAATGTATTAATGCCCGAGTGTGTGCTATACCAGGAGAGAGTCCATGAGACATTAATGGGACACTGCTGAGATAAAAGACTTATTTTTAAATGGCTTGATCTGCATGTGAACAAATCTTCCTGAAACAAAATTCAGCAATGGTTCACACGCAAAAACAATGCAAATTGTAATTGCTAGGTTCCTAAGTATTTATCAAGAACTTGTACCAGCTCTTCTGGCACTATGCTACGCTTTTTCAGTATTTAGGTCCATTATGTAAATGTTCATATAAAAGAAGAGTTTTTAACCTTAGTATATTGCCCTAGAATAAGAAATTTCATTTTAATTCACTGCTATAATGGGCCTCATGTGGAATACAATGAGGATGCAATTGGATTATGTCAAGTAGGTATTTTTGTTGTAGTGGTTTGAAAAATGAGCATTTTAGCAACATAAGAAAATGCAGCAAAGATGAGGCATGACCTGCTGTTAGAAATCCCATTCACCTGTAAATATCACCTTCCTGCAGAGGAAAACCTCCTTGAAGCGTTTCAGGGGAGAGGTACACRAAATCCCGGCAGTTCCTGTGGTTGCAGTTCTGCAGGTCCGACCGCTGCTGCTCTGTCCTCCAGTAGGCTAGACCATAATCGGATATCTACAGAGAGGAGAGAAAAAGGCCATTTGAACAGCAATACCTCAGCCTTAAATTGCTTAAATTGTTCATTGATAACAATACCCCAGGCTTAAATTGACTCCACCTGATTGCTGGGGTATTTACTGTATACGTGCAGGGGGTTTTACATAAACAGGCTGTAGGCTAAAAGCACAACGTTCCCACCTTGGCTCTGTACTGGGCATCCAGAAGGACGTTGGAGGGTTTAAGGCTGCCGTGGCAGAGGGCAGGTTGGAGGCTGTGAAGGTAGCGAAGCCCTTCAGCCACATCCCACAGGATCCTCAGGAGCAAGGCAGGCGGAAGCTCCGGGTACAGCTCATGCTAAGTAACAACAAAGCACAGGAGTTGGCAGCGGGGCAATACTCACATTCCAGGCTCTTATCCCATAAAACTGCTTTGCGTACCTCGTGGATGAGGGAGTGGAGGGATCCATTGTTCATCCATTCAGTCACTGTCCCCACGAGCCCGCAGTGCTGATAAACGCCCAGGAAAGGTAGGAGACGGTCAGACTGGTCAGGCCAGAGAGCTACTACATCCCGAAGCAGCAACTTCCACTCCCTGGAACGAAGAGCAAAGTCAGAGGCACTTGGGAACGAAAGGAATTTCGGCTAGAGGGGAGACGGAGGGAGATACAGGATTCAAAGATAACTCTGTGGTTAACAGTATTCTCTTAGTTGATGTTGAGCAGGACCAATATTAAATTGCCTGCCAAACAATTTGAAGAAAAATGACCAGTACCTTTTGTAGTGTAGTTTTCGGATGTAACATGGAAGGATTCTAGATGCGTTAATACATGTGTGCACAGTTTAAAGCAGGATGTGAAAAGAAAAGCCAGGAAGAAGCTGTACTATAGGATATGCTGGTTAGAAAAAAAAAAAAAGACTTTTATCTCTACTGCCCTTTTTTTTGCTATTAGCAAATTCCTCTTTTATAAGGAAGTTATCGTCTTCCTTGCTTATCTGTAAGGATAAGCAAGATACACAAGTTTACTGGACTTCTTTTGTCCTAAAAAGAAGCAAAACAGTCCCTCCCATTAATTTTTAATTGAAGATAATAGTTTAAAAAGCAAGTGCTGCCAAGAGTCAGGGACAGTTCAAGTTTTATCTGATCTGCTGTTTCTTCCTCTCCTGTGTTTATAATGTAATAAATGAAACCCCGTGAGTTCCTCTAGGACACTTGCACTTTTATTCTGACAAAAGCCACACAAATTTCCACATTCTCAGCCAAACCAGCTCTAAGAGTGCTTAAACGTACTCATTTACATTTATTTTTGAGAGAGAGGCGGGTCAAAGCATTTCCTAAAGTGCTCTGGTCTTGCATCATCAGAAATAGTACGGGGATATTCTCAGAAACTCTCTGTGCCTTTGTCAGCACACTGAAATTCTGTAGGCGACAGGCTGACGTCCATCACTTGCTTTAGTTTTTCAATTACAAAATCACATACCTYGCTGCTCTGTAGCCCTGACCACCCCTCCCTCCTCCCATTTCTATTTTCATTCATCTAAACTAGCTGTTTTATGTAAAAACCAACTGAGATCTCTTCAGGGTTCTCTTGGAATTTGCCTCCGTGTTGACTCTGGCTAGTTGCAATGCATAGGAACGGAGACATCATGAGGGATCAGAGGATCCTGGACATGCCACAATTCACAGATCTGGTGCCATCCCTGTGTTTTCCACCACCGATCTGTGCTGGGGGCGGCCAGGTAGGACACTGGTGATCAGTAGGACACCGATCGGTGGTGCTGGGGGTGGCCAGGTAGGACACTTACCTCTCTGCAGCATTCTGGCCGCTCAGCAGCTTCACCGAGATGGGAATATTCCAGGAAACATGGAAGGCTTTGAGTGCAAAGCCCGAGCTCGTCCTGCTCAGAGTAAAGCTGTCCAGGTCTTCTGGTGCTACTACAGGCAACTGTTTGGCCATTTCTTCATTGCAGGCCTGAGAAAGGAAGGTACAGAAGAGGGAAATAAATAATAAACTTGGACCTTTTCTTTTTCCGCCTCTCCTCACTACTGCCAAAGCATTGCACCAACTCGTATTTCCCAAATGCTCTTCATCCCAATCCAGTACGTTTCCTTTTACTCTTCCAATTTTTCATATCAAGACAGGAAAAATATACTAATTGCAGAGGACTCTCTGTCCATCACCATATCTTACCTTCTGAGCCTGCAGGGCTAATTAGCTACTCRCTCTGTATTATTTCCATCTGATCACTTGGAAAGGTAGAGCCATTATTTCTAATCTAAAATGGRATTTTTGAAATAACACTGATTTTTGTAGACAGCAGCAAATAGGTCACAGTTATGTGCTAGACAGCAACAGCTTTCCCCACTTCTCGTGCATAAAATTGTTTTTTTCCAATAACCAACCCGTGCACATGGTCTGTGTCACTCCATATCTCATTTAATAGGATACCACATGTCAACACAACAGTGAGGTAATGGATCAAGTTTTCTGCATAAACTGCCAGGACTCTCTTAAACAGAGCTCCCTCTGCACAGCAGCCACTAATTTGCCCTATGGTGCAYATTTATAGCACCTCTCTGGGACAATATGGATGTTTGACATAAACAAATGACCTGACAGTGCATATGGAGGCGAGATAAGCAACCTCTGCAAAGCATCGCCGGTGCTACTGCAGGAATAGGACATTTTTAATGACACCTCAAAGATAATTTACACAGGGACAACCAAAAGTTAATGGCAAATGAATAAATCAAGTCTATGCTGTCATAGCTGAGCTGCTTCTTGTTCCTGGCCAATATATTTTTAGTTAATCTCAACATCTCTACTGGGATGTTTTCACAGTTGCCAAGGAGTATTAAGCCCAGCTTTGCATGTAACTACAGGCAGAATGTACATAAGAAAAATACTGTAGTTGATTTGCCCTAAAAGTTGCAACAGTATCTGACTTTTGATAGGAAAGAACAATAAAACTTGTCATTTTTTAATACACCACCGTAATTTGAAAGCAATAGTGGTTCAGTTCAGTAGTGCCCTAGGTGGTTCACTTACAGTTAATAAAGAATAAATGAAAAGTTGCATGAGGCTGACAGGCATGATAATTGTTTGATAAAATTGCAACAGGCTCCTCTGAATGAAAATAAATCTCTAAATGAGCTATTTATCCTTTAAAAATGATGAAGAAAAACTACGCATATATAAAAATACTACATTTAATGGAMATAGTCAAAAGCAAAATTTGCTCATGTTTTATCTCTATACTAAGATAAATTTTCCCTATATCTTGTTCTGTGCATCCATTTCCACAGCTGGACATAAAAGTAAGTTTCTGATTATCCCCAAAAAAGATTGTAACCCTAAAGTCAGAGCTGTTATTCAGAAAATCCAGTAAAAAAGCTAGCAATGTTGCTGAAATAGAAGGAGGGGAAAAAAATCAAGGAATATCAGACTTTTTAATGCAGTTACAGGTAACAAAAGTTCTCTCAGACTGAACTTTTGGTTCGGTAGCTCTGCTCATCTTGTATTCATTAAATAAAAATCCAGCATCAAATGATGGAACCTATGAAAATTAGAGTTTTTTTGCAATGAAAGTTTTTGTATTACTTTTAATGAGGCACGAGCAGGCTCAGACACCTTTGTGGTCTTCTCCCCATCAAGGAGAGCGAGGGATAGCTCAGAAACAATTTATTCCAACATTCTCCTTTTAAAGATAACTCTCAAAACAAATCACAGCAAAGATATTTTGTCAGTGCTAGAGAAACCCTTCTGGGTTAATGCTTGAAGGTGCAAATAAAGAAAAATGGAAAAGAAATACAACTTACCCACGGGGAGATAAATCACTGAGCAGCCRGTAGCCAAGCTGCAGCTCTGGTTTAAGCTGCCTAGGCACAGCCCAGCTGCCCTGACTCAGCCASGCTGTTTGTCTCTCCTTCTATTGGCCACTTGCAATTTCCTGCTAAGAGAGAAAAAAACAAGTAACTCTTTAATGCCTGCAGGTGCTGGTCTGGCAGCCACCCTTAACAGATGGGAAAGATTACAGAAAAAGTGCCTTTTTTTTTTTTTTTGAGGCAAAATTAGAGGATTCCTCTAATCTGGACTGACAAAATTCCTCTAATTTTGTCAGTCCAGCTGATCTTGGAACAGGTTGCTCCCTTTCTGACTAGATGGCAGATAAGCCTGAGGGTAACAAAGACATGAAGCTCCACTGGCTGGTGAGTAGCCCTGCTGAAAAGCATGTGGGGTTCGGGTCAAACGCAAACCAGCTGCGATTTCCCAGCACAACTGGGCAAACTGAGCTATGTTAAAGTGAAGTTTGCAACATGAGGAAAGTCTTCTTGCTCCTGTACTCCAAGATGATGAGGCTGCCTCTGGAGTTCTGCTGGAGATCCCGCAATCCAAAGAAAATGGTGAGAAACCATTTGGGTGAGGGGGCAGTAGATGGCTACCTAGATTATCAGGGGCCTTAGAGCATACCACTAAGAGGAGAGGATGAGGGTGCTAATCTTGCTCAGCCAGGTGCAGGAGCCTGCAGGGTGATCTACTAGCACCCAACAAATAATTGAAGAGCAGTTACAAAGCTCATRGAGCCAAATTATTTTTGATAAAAACTGGTGACAACAAGTAGCATGGCCAGATGTTTCACTTTGAGAGGTTCAAGCTGGATGGTAGGAAAAGCTATTTTTACCATGTGGGTAATGCAACACCAGAATGAGTCACCTTTAAGGTCTTCTAGACTCAGCTAGACAGAGCCATGGTCTAGCCCTGCTGTCAGTTCTGCTTTGAGCAGGAGATTGCAGTATCRACCTCCAGAGTTCCAGCATTTCTGTCATTTTGGGATAACTTGGTGAGGTGAATTGTATTCCTGCTCTGCTTACACGTTTGTGCTGAAGGTTGATGGGACTGCTGAGTGCAGATGGGGACATTGGGAGAAATCAGTCTTAAATCCGTGGGTCAGGTTTGCTCACAAAACCTTTTGCAGCATCTCATCTTCCCACATTCTGTCAGTGAGAGTTTGTCCATTGRCCTCAGTGTCCATTTTGAAACAAACTGGAACCTCACAGCAAGGACAGAGCAAGCTCTGCTTACCTAATCCTCCTGTGATCCCAGGAAAGTCCCTCCTATCTAAAAATCATATGGCCAGGGCTCTGGGCCCTGAGAGGAAGCAGCCTGCGAGTGGGAAGTGGGCAGTAGTCCACGTACAGGGCATTATTTCCTGAAAGCTGTAGCTATCAGAACAGAGTGGCTGCTACAAAGAACAGCATCAGCTCTTCCTGTGGTCAGTACACCCTTCCAAAAATGAAACTTGGGTTCCTGAGTACTGGGGAGATGAGACAGAGATAAACAAGTGGGCAAGAGGAAAAAGACTTCTGGTTATTAGCAATGTGTTTGGTGCTGCCCATAGCCTTCACTTCTGTAAAAAGGACATTAATRTGTTTGCTGTTTAGGTGTTAATTAGGTGTTAATCTGTCCAGCTCAGACTGTGCATTTACTTTTCAGTTCAAACTCACCTGTGTGCCACATGTATTGTCTAAGCTTTAAAGTGAGCCAAAAAACCCATATGTATGTAGTCTTAACATCCCAAGAAAGCAGGAATAACAGTAATGCCTAGAAGATATTATGGTCTAAGACAGGAATAATTTATAGCCACCTTGCCCCCCTCCCGTAATCAAGTAGAGTAATCCCAGCTATATTCAGATTTATTACAGTATGGGAGCTTTATGGGCAGCAGCATTCAAGAGGACACCAGCATAAAACCAAGTGTTGACAGAGTGAGAAGAGGCAGTAAAAGAATGACACGGTGTCAAGACTGGAGCCTTTGGGTGACCCAAATACCAAAGTGTCTGATGCATGCTCAGTAAATCCTGCACTTTGATATTTCAGGGGAGAGTTCTCATCACTGCTTCTCAATGTGGTTATTCCGGTCAAGCATCTGTGGAAGAGAACTTCAAGCAAAGGTAGGTTCTCACAGTGCTTCTTGTCTTGAACCTCATGTACTCATGCACCATTGGTGAGAAGTGAATATAAAAATGTGGTTAGGCTGCCCATTTGTGGGATTTGCATTGTATTTCACTTCTATAAAATCTGTAGTAAAGTCTGTAGCTACAGACAGTGGTGTAATCGTGTACTTTAAAAGTCAGGATTGAAAATAGGCACAAACTTGTTTGCTCTAGATGAGGTACTTCAAGCTACAAAATCATAATGTCCATTTCTTGTCTTWTTGTATTCCTAACTGAACTAGGGCTTACTAGAGCTTCCCTCCCCTGTCTCCCTCCCAAGAAAATTTTTCTTCAAATTCCTCTACCGTGCTGTTTTGGAAATATTCACCCTATCACTAATTAGATGACTAAACCAAAGCTACTGGCCTTAGGCAGCTTCTACAAAACAAACAGTGCCAAAAAACTCTRCTAATTAGTGGAACCATAGAAATTTATTAGTGTTTTAAGTAGTCAGATTTTGTAAACAGGTATCACACAATGCTTTGCCCGCCATAATTCCTGCAAATGTGAACAATTAGGTTAAGAACTGGGTGTGAATGGCTCATAGCCTGCAGAGAACCATCATTTTAAGAAAACATATATTAACTTAAATGCTTTGTAAAACAAAACCACCATCCTCTGCAACCCAAGAGTTTGCCATCTGTTTTGGAAGATGATATACTAAGGTACATAGAGGCAGGGTGGAGGAATGCTAAACCTTCTGGTGCGTGTTACGTACAGATAAATAGTTCCAGTAAAGCTCATGGTGAAACATCCAAGCCCTACATTGTGTGACCTTCCTGTGAAGGTACAGCACAGGTATGGAAAGAGGACAGAAGGTGCCTTCCAAAAAAAAACCTTTACACATCCCATCCAAAACTCCAGGTCATATAGGCAAAGGTAAGATGTGCTTTCTCCTCTAAACTGGAAAACCTCCTGAAGTATAAACCCCATTGCCCAGTCTTTGTGCTGGTCTGGTTTTCCTGGTCAGGGTATTGGGCTCTTGTGTTACTTCCATAACATGTTAATATACTGAATTCTGCCAAGCACTCCTTTGTTTCAAGAATCTTAGCTCATGTTTCCATTTACAAGGAGAGCTGATGTAATTTCCTCTTCTCCAATGACTTCTGAAACTGAAAAGCAACAGGATGCTTGTGTCATYTGTTTCTTTTCTGGTAGCATTCAAAAGAATTCCCCTCCTTTCTCCCTGCCAAATCTGGGGGTTTGAGGTCACAGGTACTTCATCCTTTAATATCTAAACTTCAATTTCTGCATGTTTTGTAAGTGCAAACATATAACCTTATTTTTCTTCAAGATAAGCAAAAATGTTCCCCCYTCCATGGCTGTAACTTTTACTTAATACTTTCAATGTGAGGTCTTAAGGAGAGGCTGATGGGCAAGAAAAAGTTGGTTAATGCATGAGTAGTTTCTTTAGGACTAGCATTTCTCAACAGAAGGTATGTGCAATGCACAGCAAGTCAGATGCTTTCTTACATGACATCTTGGCTTTCATATATATGTTTTTCATTGTGAGGCTACTTTTCTCAGATTGGCAACAGTTGGCACATTAAAGGGCATCTGGAAGAAACATATTGCTACTGACTTCCTTCTAAATGTTTGTATAACAGCAACTACGTGTAGGTCACTTGAATTTAGTGACGTGGAGAGAAAATTCTCATTTCTTCCAATAAACATYCGTGCATTTGCAGTCATCTAGCAAAAGACATTCGCAGGCTAAAACTGCTCTCCTGAAATGGGTTGCTCTTGAACCCATTCTTGGAATCTGGCCATTAACACAGTAAACTGGAATGGAGCGTGGCGCTCCAAGTACGTCCTTACCTTCTGGGGAAGATGGCCAGCAGATGCAAAGGACTTGAGGAGAATTTACTTTGATTTCCCCAAAGTCTTTGCAACCACAAGGGTCACTGCCCTGTGAAGATCAAACAAGCTTTTGTCCACCCACACTTTTAACTGGTTAAAAAAACTATAAATTACATAAGCGATATGAAGAAATAGTAGCTAAAGAGAAGGGAAAGGAGCTGTTTTTATGGCAAAAAATACAAAACTGCAGTCCTGTTCAAACTTCAAACATTTTAGCCCCTTGTAGTTCTTAGTTCTTGCAACAGTTTCTCTCAGAGTCCAACTATGGTAATGAGAAGGCTAAAACACAAATGGCACCTTCACAGACTCACCTGTTTATCCATCCACACACTGGGAATCAGCAGCGAGGTGCCTTGCCAGAGCAGCTCTCCTAGCCTGCTTCAGAGGCCAGCATTGCATCCTCAGGATAGACAGCTGAACCAAAAAATAATTAGGAAACACTCATAGGATTTAAGAAAACATTGCTGTAACATGCATATTAATTCAAGCTTGATAACACCTGTGTTTTTCAAGTTTCTTAAGCCTTTTTTAACTATCTACTTGAATACAAACTTAAATGTATTCTTATAACATTACCTGTTAGGCACTTTGTACTTTTTTTGCCTTTTACTTTTCTAAAGATTGAAATRGCTGAAAACAGTGTGGAGTTTTGAGTGAAAAAATGGTTCTGTACAGGATGCACGTGGCTCTATTTTGTTCTCACCAGGAAGCAGCAGCAGAGTTAAAAAAGCCCATCACAAATACCCCTTTAGGCTGCAAGAGACAAAAAAAGCACCAGAATTTACCCATGTCCTGACATGACCTGTACACCAACTTCCCCTTGGCTTCCCTCCCATGGGAAAGCAGGTAGCAAAACAAACAGCTTACATAGAAAAAAATGAAAGGAAATTGTGAGAAATTGTGCAAGAGACTCTGATGCCCCCTCGTGCAGGTAGGGGAAGAGCTGTGGACTCTCCAGGTTACATAAATGTCACTTAGAGGTTCATAAAGGTGAGAGAAGCAGCTGGCCCTAGACATAACATCACAAATATCTGGAAGGCTCAGGAAAAATAATGTAGCAGCAGAACACAACAGGATATATACAGCAGTTGGTATGCTGAATTTAATGATTCTGAATTATCACTTGTAGAGGTTGGCAAGCCCTTGTGCTGCACCCTTGCAGAGGGCCACAGCTGCAAGAACCAGATGGGCTGTTGGTGGTGGCACTTGGCTTTAGAAGCTGACAGCACCCAGGCCTAGTCCCTTTCTTCCTCCTCCTCACTTGATGTAGTTATGACTGTCAGAGGGTTGCCCTCATCTCAGTCACATGAGAAGCTGTATGTAACACATTGAATCATGATCCTTTTTTGTGCTGAGAAAGAATAAGGGAGAGCTAAGAYTTCGTTGCTTCTCCACGTGGCTTCACATACACCAAAACAGTGAAACTTTATATTTAAACAGACTTGCCTAAGGGTTGCTTCAGGGTTAGGTAATTCTGCAACAAAGAATTTTAATGGTGCTTTAAGAGACAAAGACATGGACACTGCTTGTTCTTCTTTGCTGCTGCTCTGAGCTTGCCAGAGTCTTCACCAACATCTCTAGGCAAGCACATGCACAGGTCAGTGCGATTTCTGCTTGCCATTCTCACTGCAGCCAGCACAGTCACCATCACAAACCACTTACATGCTCRTCTAGCACAGTCTTTTTTCCTTTCAGGAAAAAGACATCTTCACCTACATCCTTAAATTAACAGTGCTTGAAACAAAAATGGCCCAAGTCACAGAATTTTAAATCTAAAAAATGTTTCTTTAAAAATGAGCAGGCAAGTACATGGAAATAAAGCTTGTTTCCTAGGTCTTCATGATTTATGAAGAAATCAATTTAACATTCATCATTTTACTTAACCAAAACAGCAAGATGTTCTCATCCTGCAATAGAAATGTAAAAGAAAGGGCGTTTTATCTGTTTGTCTCTCTCCCCCCAGCCTCGCCAGTATACAGAGTTATGCMGCATGAGATACCAGCTCTGGATAATTTCAGGATTCCTAATCTGGTAGGGGATAAAACAATATTTAATACATGGAAGATTCTTATTTTCAATCAAAATATCTAGTCATCCATATGGAAATGACATTTGCTAATGAATAAAACATCCTTGTTTCAAAATACATGTCCTTCTGACTATGGTCTATCATCATCTGACCTTCTCTAATCTCTTAACTGCATGAGTTGGTATCATCATCTAATATGCTTTGATGTTAACATTCACAACCTAAGTTCTGTTTCTTATAGCAAGCTGATGAAACAGTCTAAACTGACAGCCTGTGTAAGCACAGCTTGATTATGAGTCTTGTATTTTGAAAAAAATCATGCAAAACAACCATGATTTACAATTCTGAGAGTATGATGCACTAAACTATTTTCAGCTGCTTAACATCATTACATTTCAGCTGTTGCAAAAATCAAGAAAAGTCTTCACTGAGTTAACCACATCTTTTAGCTCTTTTGCTAAAGCTGCTTTACAAAGTGCCATGTATGTTAAACCTTCACATGGAAAGCATTTGCTATAATTTGGGAAATCTTACAAGTTTGAGGAAAAAAATCTAATTTCTAATTCTAAAGACTGCTGGCAACTTCTGCAAAGGGGAATTCCACAGTTTCCTCAGGTTTCTGTGCACACTTGCATCACTAGCATCCAGCTCTCTTAAATAACATCAGAATGCAGAGACACCAAAAGGCCACAGATAGAACAGTACTAAAATAAATCTATTTTCATTTTATAACACCCCACCACATTTTTATTTTGTCCAGCTTCTGCATTATCACTACTTCTCATTTTTAACCACCTAGTATTATGAAAACTGTGGATTTTTTCCTGCTGCTGTAGCAGTGGGTTTTTCTGGCAAGTTTTCATGGCTTTACTTGAAGAAAAACATCCACTTTCATTCTTAGTCACAAAAAACCTTCAGTCTTTGTGGATTGATTTCAGACAAAACTGTCCCTTTTAGTACTGAAAGTACTGCTTTTTATAGCATCTGCTTACAAGACGAATCTCAAGATCCCTGTCCACATTAGAGACAGACAAAAAAACACAGAAAACTGTAGATTTAAATGATAGTGGGGTGGAAGCTGATAATCTGTTTCTGGTCCCAATTGAAACTGTTCAAATGTTGAACACTGTCCCTGCCAGAGTTCACCGTGTGGCTGCTGTTTTCCTTTGCTTCCCCAAGATTGCTCTCCCTTGTTTTATCTCATTGGAAGGACTGTAACCTGTCTGTAGATGAAGCAGCATGACACATATGAAGTGTTTAGAAAGGATCAGGTCTCCAGGAATTTATGGAGCCCAATGACAAGGATGTTTCTCTTCCTCCCCTGAACACCCTTATAAGCCCTTTATGCCCTTTCTATTCACACATTTACACAAATGGAGCTCAGCCCTATGTTCACTGTCAAATGGGGTAGAYAGGGCTGCTGGAGAAGGCGGCTTTACCTGAAATCAATACATCAGATAAGCATGAAGGTGGGATATTAATTCACCTAGTTCGGAGTGAAAAAAGAATCTAAGATGCATCAGGAAGAAAAAAGCAGGCATCTCATTTCAGCAGGGGTAGAGGCTCATCCTTAAAATAATTACATTAAGATTTTTTTGAGATTCCATAAGTCACAATTGTAGCAAAATATTTCTGTATAAGGAATATAAATATGCAATAACTTATTGGATATTTGGCAAAAGCAGAATGAATGCTTATATAAGCTGAGGATTAAAAACCACCTTCAAATCTTAAAGTAGTCACAGAATATCAACATGAATTGCAAGATATATTTTTCATTGGACTATGAATCATTCACAAACAAAAATTCCCAGAGTCAGCTGAACAATTCTCTTATCAACAAACTTAGTGTTACCAAATTTGAGAGTAATGGTGATCAGCTGTTTGTTATCTCCAAAAAAATTAGTCTAGTTCTTGGGGAGGGGAAAAAACAAAATCAATTTGACCAAATTTACTGAGTTTAGTGATTAACTCTATCAAACTGAAAAGCCACTGACTTACATTGCTCTTGTAAGAAGAATATGATGACAGTTGCTGCTATAAACACCAATATTGACATCAATCACAAGATATTCCATCTAAGAAGCTTTACATATGCATTTGAATCTCATTTGGACAAAAATATTCATGAATGCTAAGCAARATGTATGTACTTACAGGTAGAGGGCCTATATTTTGAGTATTAGAAAAATAATCTATTTATCCCTGCTTTCTAGGATACTTAGCTCCAAGGTACATTACAAATGTTGTACCAATATGACATAATTACAAAGCTTTTTAAAAGGACAAACCCCAATTGTATTATTTGGCTCAAATAAGAAATATTTTACTATTATAAAAGATAGTCAAAAAAGTTTCATGAAACCAGAAAAGGGTTGGCCATTGGGCTGGGATTCAAAGAAGAAGTTAGTTCACTTGACATAAGTTCTGAGCAAAAATTTAGAGAAGCATAGGGAAAAAACCATCTGAAAAAGGATTAGAAAATATCAGCTGACATTTTGATAGAGAATACTTATATTTCTCTTATTTCAGAGAAAACTTCATCCTTTGAGGTTATTAGTTCAGATTACAGCTGCATAGATTGATACACTTTTGTGAAGAGCTTTACTACGTGCAATACTCCAATTAAAAGTTTTTACCAAAATAAACTGTTTTTTCCAAACAGTAAGTAACCATGAAGTTGATGGTGAACAAATTGGAAAAAAAAAATCAAGGAAAGTAATTGTTGGGAAGAACTGCTATTAGTTGGATGTATCTCTAGTGGTTTCACAGGGCCTGATACCACCATCACCTGCAGTCATGTATGGAAAGAGAGGATGATTTTTATCTTCTGCTGTCATTGACTTCCACAGAGTTGGCATTTGCTCAAATTTTTTATTAAAAAAATGAACCAGGAGGCATATGACTTAAGGCTGTGAGCTCACATGTGACCAGGGAGGGTCAGAAACTGAAAATCAACATCCCTTCTCCAGTTGGTTTTGCTTCTCCTCATTGCATGGGTGGTGCGAGGCCTCACATATGGGTGCAGCACTCTGAGCTGGTTGCTGTTGTGCTGATCCAGCACTGAAAAGCAAGGGATAATCTCATGATTCAAGTGTAGGACTTAAAAATCACAAATCCTCCTCAATTTGAGGCCTCTGCTGTTGATTCCGAGTGTGACTTTGGGCAGATCTAGTGGCTCTGCTTTATGCTCCCTTCCAGTAGAAATAGCTAATATTTTATCAGAATAGGTCAGGGTCCATTTAATGCTAATACCATCTTTGATATCTGACAAATGCCAAGTTGCTTTAAAGTCACACGAGTTACTTGAAAAAAATAATCTTTTGTGGTTTGAAGGCCTCCAAGTACAACAAAGGGGCATCTAGGCAAATATACTTGCTTTTGA